TTTTTTTTACAGTGTGTGACTGTATCGGAGACAACAAAATCACAGTGCCATGTAAGAATGTTTTAATAATGTCAGGGTTAAGAGATGAAAACACCTGCTTATTTCTTTAAATGTCCATTTTAATATATAAATGACCTTCTGCCCACAATCCACCCCCGGTTTTGTAATATTTTTGTTATTCCTGCGAAGCCTGACGTGTCCTGTGGATTGAGACCGATGAACTGAATTGCATTGAACCTGGATGTTGTCTTACAATCGCAGCAGGGTTATTCAAGTGCAGCATTCAAGTTGCTGCCATTCAATGTGATAACTGCCATTTGCTTTTGATTTTTTGTCTTTTTTTTTTTGCTTTTCTTCTTTGTCTATTAATCCAATTAAATCGTCTGTTAAGTATGGTGTTGACCATGAAGTAGGACAGGCTTCAGATAGACCAGAGGTCATCTGGATGTAGCCCCAAACAGAAAGTCACTATGAAAGCAACAAAGACAGCAATTATCAGGTGTCTCCCTTCATAAATGCAGGTGTGGCGTATAGAGGAGAAGAGCCAGAGACCAAAGGAAGTCGGCTGCTAGAGGAGGACCGATCACCAACCACTTACCAATTCTGCTTGAACCATCAAGTGTATTTAATTCTGGCCCAGGGAAAGACGAACCGTGGAAGGTGAAATCTCAATAGGTTATTCTTACTTTTAACCACCTGGGGGAGCTTGTCTGTATTTGCCTGTGGCTCTTGTGTTGAGCCCAAGGGCACATGACGATCCAGAGATTAACAAAGAAAAAAAAATGATGCTGAGTTAATCAGTAGAGAGACAGACAACCATTCAAACTCACATTCACACCTGTGGGCAATATGAAAATCCCTAGTTAACCTAACTTCATTAATTGCATGTCTTTGGAAGCCAAAGTACTTGGAGAGAACCTAAACAGACATGGAGAGAACATCAAATTGCAGACAAAAAGGCTCCAGGCAGATGGCGGATTTAAACTCAGATGTTCTTGCAATTAGCCAAAGGAATTCCTAATAATCACTGACCCAGCAAACAGACCCACGTGCCCAGAGTGGGCAACAACTGGATGTTAACATGGAGAGAGAACAACAGAGACACAGGCCCCAGTTCTGCTGTAAAATGTAGAGCACATCTCAGTCCAAATGTGACAACCTATTGATTGGGCTACCTACACTAAGTAGAGAGGGACCCCCAGTGGAGCCCTGCAGTATACCCACAACAGGCCCACACTTAAGGCATAAGCTGCCCTTGACAAACAAAACGTAGTTTAACAAACATTCCCTTGAAAATGGTCAGTTACAAGGCCTGGGATCAAAATAAGTTATTAGTAGCCAATATCCAAATTAAAAAATAAACTGTGGATAACTATTTTTCTATTGTTTTTCTATTCTCTTACTTTTCTTTATTAATGACCCCAAAACTGGTAGCTGGTGGTTTATTCTTACCTGAAGTGCCCCATTGGTAGAGTTCATGTTGAGCAACCTGTCTGCTTCTTACTTTCTCTTCTTCAGGTAACTCCCACTGGTGTCCTGTGGCAGCTGTGAACTGGATTAATGCTGTCTCTCCTGGTTTTTGAGTCATTCTCAGATACCAAGCAAGGAGTTAAGTTCCCTGCTAAGTAAGTATTACTTTTCAGTGAACCTAGTTTACCAAAATTGTCTGCAAGAGATGGTATAAATTGCTTCTTTTCCCTAGAATACGTAATGAATGATATGCTTGGTTTTATTTGGGTGATAGAGAGCTGCTGATGCAAACAGATTTGCTTTGATCATTTTAAACAGATATTGGGAGAAATATTTTATATTTAAGAAAAGTGCCTTTAGGTGGGTTTGTGGAAACAAAATGTTGCATATCAAAAGTAAAAGTACCACTCTTACCTGTCTAATTTAATTTTTTTTTATTAATTTAGTCAAATATGCATTGCTTTGATCTGTATAAGTCACATCCATTACATTTTATTATTTATTGTTTGTTTACTATTTGTTTTGCTATTATTTGCTTTTATTACTTATAATAGATGATGCCTTTAAATTGTAAATGATGTGGATGCATGTGCAGGAAGCTGGCTGTTTACCATGATGACAGATGTGCAAACTTAGATCAAAGCTGCAAAATTTATCATATTCCAAACATCTTAATGTGGACAGAATAATTGTTAGTTGAGGAGCTGTCCGATGAATGCAGAGGTTTAAAGTACAATATTATTTCCTGAAATGGGAACAAAAGTCTACTTTATTGGGAAATTAAAGAGAAAAATTATTAAGGATTACTGTGTGCTGCGGAGTATTGTTGATCAGCAGACTCCTGATCAATGTACTGTGACACACAATGTTGTTAGCTAATGTACAGCCAAAGTCTATCACAACAAAAGATCAGGCATCAAATATTACAGAATGGAGTATCTATCAAGGAGTATCTTCATACCTAATCTGCTTTCAGGTGTCTTCCATGGATCAGTTATTCCACTTTCTGTTTTTTTTGCAGGCTATCAGCATTCTTACCATTCTTTAAGGAAGCTGTCGAAACTTGTTGCAGGTTTTTTTTTGTAATTCCATATAAAACGATCGCGCTCAGTAAAAGTGAAGTGTATTGTGTGTGCAAGTTCCTTTTGAGGTGCTCACTGATTGCACAGCTTTAAACAAACTAACCTGACAAACACTGAAGCTTAAAAACATTCAGCTTTTGTTAGAGCATTTAAAATTTTTGTTTTTACTCATTGTTTGCATAAATGACTGCTATGGTTGTTTTCTCAAATTTTATGATGATCTTAAATTACACAATAAAAAATAAATTAAGACTACAAAACCCTGTTTCTAAAACAGCAACACTTTTCTGCTTCCTTCCAGTTTTTAAAGACATTGAGGCTTCCAGGATGTTCTACCTGTGGATATGCTTGACTCTGTTCTTTGCTCTACAAAGCACTGTATCATCAGATCAAGGTAATTATACAATGTGTGTATCAAAAATAGAAGTATTGCTATTCATGTAAATGCATTAGAAAGAAGAAATATAATAATATCATTTGGTGCTTTTTTTGCTTTCAGCTGTGTCAGTGAATTGCAGCAAGACTGCAGAAGTTAGACAAAGTGTGACTCTAAATTGTACCATAAATTGGAAAGATGGCTCAAACTGTAGCGTTTTTGATATATATACCGTGGAGAACAAAAATGAGCCCATACAATGTTACAGCAGTTTGACAAAACACATCTGTAAAGGGGATCGTCTGAAGTATGTCTCAGTGACCGTCCCAAGTGTCACGAAAGAGGTGAACGTTACAGTTGAAATCAGGTCAGGCTGTGGTATGGCTAAATCCCATCCTGCACAACTATTCCCTACTGCACAACTATTCCCTACTGCACAACTATTCCCTACTGCACAACTATTCCCTGCTGCAGGTTAGTAAGTTTCAGTAATATCATCAAAAATATACAGTACTGTGCAAAAGCTTTAGGCAGGTGAGAAAAAATGTTGTAAACAGAGAATGCTTTCAAAAATGGAAAAGTTAATAATTGATTTTTGTCAATCAACAAAATGCAGTGAATGAACAAAAGAGAAATCTCATTCAAATCAATATTTGGTGTGACCACCCTTTGCCTTCAAAACACCATCAATTCTTCCTGGCTAAGAGATAAGAGATAAGATAAGAGGAGCCTCTGTTAGTCCCACACGTGGGAAACTAACCACAGATCTTCTGTGGACGTAGGCTTCCTCACATCCTTCTGTCTCTTCATATAATGCCAGACACACACAATGATATTAAAATCAGACCTCTGCGGGCGCCATACCATCGTTAGGGGTCGTTGTCCTGCTGCTCAATACATTTGGGGCCAATAAACAATCATTTATATTTCTGAAAGCATTCTTTGTTTACAACCTTTTTTTTAACACCTACCTAAAACTTTTGCACAGTACTGTACATTTACAAGAAATATGTCTGTGAATTAATATTTTGTATTTCAATTGTATTTCATGCTCATGTTAACTGTACTTTAATAAATGTACTTTACTTTGTCAGCTTCAGGAAGGGTGACAGGAAGGGTGACAGGAAATGGACGAGGAATGCAGGAGAAGTCACATGTGATGGCCGTCGTACTCTGTGTTTTTCCCACAGCTGTGTCCATTTTCTCTCTATAGAAGTCACAGACACACAGAAATGTAAGTGGCACAGATTCTGCACTGTGAATTAAAGACTGATTTTGGTGTTATGTGGCATGTATTTGATGTTTATGAATGTGGATCCACCTGCTTCCCAAAAACATTACTGTCATTACTCGATAGGTTTATACATACAAACAACAACAACGAGCACAGCTGCAGCTGAATATTGTCTGCTGTGCTCCTGAGAGGAGCTTTGTTACAAAAATACTGTTTACTTTCATTCAGTGATGTGTGAACACTGCCTCTGTACTGTCAAAATGTACACAAGCCCACAATGTCTCCAGTTAATGGTGGGATAGTGTGACCACAATAAATTCTGAATATTGTATAATCTGTTTGTTTGTTTGTTTGTTTGTTTTTGGAGGGTATTTTAGATTTGATTACATGTGGAATAAAACCTGAAAATCTCTCTGTTACGTCCACCCACCACATTACAATCTAGCATCTACAAACTGCACCTTGACTAGTGTACAAAGAAATCTAATTGTGTTACTGTAATGTGGCCAGCTGGAAACAGACCCTGATGATGTCACTAGGGCTGTCTCAGCTATGTCTGGAAAACCTGTGCTGCAATCTTGCTGGCTGTTTTACAAAGATCATAGCCACTCCTTAAGCAAGAGGAAATTATGAGATGTCAGATAAATAGTCAATTTTCAGTCTGCTTGGACAACCACATATTTGATTCTGGCCCAATGTACGACAACAGATAATTCCTCCATTCAGCCAAGGGGCGAAGTTGTCTGGATTTGAGGAACTGGTCAAAAACACGGCTCCGTTTGAAGCTGAGCTGACGGCACATGTGTCAAAAGAAAACCAAGACATTGAGAGACAGAGTCAGCGAGGAAAAAAACAAACAGAATAACCTTATTTTATGTTTTTATTTTACTAGTTAATAAGCAAGTATACCCCCGGGTCCAAAACATACATACAAATACACTATACATAAGAGTTAGAATATAATATATATAAATGCACAAATTAATTACATAATCACGTTGAGGCAGTTACCTAACAGCAGAAGCATAGTCCAACCTGTTATAATACTTTGTGATATGTCGTTATATATGATGTCATTTTTATCTATTTGTTTACAAACGTCAGGAAGTCACAAGCAAAGTCAGGCTGATGTCACAGAATGTCACATGATATTAAATATAGGCTGGCAAATCAGCATCTCTCAGTGGGCAATGATAATACAGCAGTTTTCTTTTCATTTGTGGATTAAAGCTGCTGTTCATATTTGTGGCCACCAAATGTCACCAAAGAAGCATGTGTTGAAAAGCTTCAGTAGTGAACCTTTTTCAATACATGAGCCGGTGCTGCAGAAAGCTTCATTTGGCCATTACCAAGTCCTCACAATAAGAAACAAAACACCACAAAAGTTCATACCAGGCTTCACTGCTACAGTAAAGAATAACCCTTCCTTATAAAGCAGCAAAGTCATCAGGAACAAGTGTGCGATTCACACAAGGTGTGTGGAGACCAGTTTCTAGTTAAGTGACGAGGATGGAAAGAGAGAGGACAAGAGGTTGTGGAAGAACAGAAAGAACAAGCGAGGTGAAAAAAAACATTGTTTAATAAAACAAGGGTTTGTACAGTATGAATTCAGAAACTTTAATATAAAGCAACTCTATTACCAGTTTACTTCATGTACAGGTATTGAATGGCAGCCTGAGTTTCTAGTGTCTGTACTGATTAATGCTACTTTAAGTGCTCAATGATTTGTATGTGATTTTGTGTAAATATGAGACTGCACTCATGTTGTGCGTGTATCTCATCTGATCTGCTTTGCCACAAATAGTTCTTTACCTTGAGCCCTTGCCTTGGGTATGGTAACTAAAGGCTCCACCCTGAAAAGGGTGGATGAGATTGAAATGTCTGATTATTCACTCTGAATTATTCTTAGACACTACAATAGGTCATCCAGCTGATTAGGTTGCTTTTCAAGATAGTCTTATAATGTTTATTCAGTTGAGTTGAGGTTTGATGATGAGGCTGATTACATTTGCAAACAGCATATTTCATTAACATAAATTACAAGGCACTGCATGCATAAAAGTTTCAACTTAGAATCTCCCCCGCTGTCATATATTTGTCATGTGAAGCTCTAAAAAGTCTGAACCTCTCTGAAACAAGAGCTGTCTCATTTCAGTGTAGACACTCTGATGATGCTGAAGTTGATGTAGCCGCCATTATGTCGCCCATATGTTTTGGGTTTTGCGTTTTTAGCTTCAGTGCTACCTCCTTGGCCCGCATAAATATTTAGAGGCGAGGCTAGAATGTATGTCACGAGCTAACATTCGCAAGCACCCCGAGGAAATGCAGTTTCCTCTTTCATTTCTTGAGTGTGCGTCTTGGTTAGCATGAGCATGCTCAAATGCAGAATCAAAATAAGTATATTTACCTGGTACAAAAAGGTGTTTTTAGCATCTGGCTTCCACTACAACTCAACAACATTAGTGCTGCTGATATTTACTTGTTTGTGATTTTGTGGACGATTTCCTGTCTTTAAACTGGCAAACGAATAAGATTAAGTTCCTTCAGAGGGCGTTCAGCACAGATTTAGATCACACATTAGATTGTTGATGTGATTGGCACTCTGTCAGTAAAAGTGAACTGAATCGAAATAGTTTGGCTCAGCATCAGCGCTGCAGTCATGAGTAAACGTTTCTGTTCTCTCCGTGAGATTTCTTATGCAACACCTGCTTTGGCACCTATTTCACTTGTAAAAAAAAAAGGAATGTAAAACCTGCTGCAGGGAGCTCTGTGAGGATTTAAATGACAAGCCAGCAGCAAGGTTGATGACTTCCTGGAGTTTTTTATCACCTTTACCCAGAAAAGTAGCTTAGAGTCAAAAGACTCTGCAGTTGTGTGGTTCCGCACACATTAGCTTCAGCTGCTGGCTTGTTTGTTTTGGATTTTTTTTTTTTACATCAGTCATGTAGATTTATCATGTAGGGTTGTGCACATGAGTCATCCTGCATGAAAATGGTAATGTTAAATAAAAACCTTTGTGAATAATAAAAGGATACATTTGAGTTTTGTTTAATCTGTTCAAAGTGGTTTCTGTTTTACAAATGCAGTGAATGGCGGTGCATTGTTTAGTGCTGGCACTTTTTCTGCAGAGTTTGTGAACAGGTCAGAGCTGTTGTTTGTTACGTTTCTTTGTTCTCCCTGTGCCTGTGTGGCATTTCCTCCCAGCACTCTGGTATCCTCCAAAGGCATGTTTGGCAGTTTAACTTGTGATTCTAAACTGGTTATGGGCATGTTTGTGGGGGTGTATGGTTGTCTTTAACTCTATGTCAGCTTCACGCTTTATTGAGAGGATAAACGGTCAAAAATGAATACACTAACAGTCAAACTTTCTCATTTAATGGTTCTTCTTTATTTTTACTACTTTCTACATTGTAGATACATACTGAAGACATCAAATATAGAGAGCAGGATTTATGGAATTATGCAGCAAAGCAAAACTACTGATAAATAACTCTGAATATATCTTATATTTTAGATTCCTGAAAGCAGCCACCCTTTGCTTTGTTGACGGCGCTGCAAACCCTTGGCCTTCTTTCAGTGAGGTCGGTGATGTCGTCAAATGAAATGGTTTTCACTTCACATGTGTGCCTTCTCAAGGTTCATTGTGAGACCATCAGATGTGTTGTGCAGAAGTCAGGTTGGTACACAGCTGACAGCCCTATTTGACAGCGATTAGAATTCATATTATGGCGAGAACCAATCAGCTAAGTAAAGAGAAACAACAGTCTGACTGCTTGCTCATAGGGGGTCATGTGATTGTTGGGTTTTTCTCTGTATGTATTATTGTAGGGTCTCTGCCTTGCAACATAAATCACCTTGAGGTGACTGTTGCTGTGATTTGTTTCTGGATAAATAGAATTGAATCATTAGTTTAAGAACTGAAGCTCAGTGAGTCTGGAAAATTGCTAAAACTTTGAATGTGTCCTCAAGTGCAGTGGTGAAAAACCATTAAGCGCTGTGACAAAGATTAGGGCCCAGATAAATGCCACACAGAGTTCCAGGAGCAGACACTTATTTACATCAACTGATCAGAAGAAACTGTGCGAATCAGATCTTTATGGTCTAAAACCACTGATAAGAAACCATTGCTAAGGAAAAGCAACAAGCAGAACAGCTTTGTTTGGGCAAAGAAACACAAGGAATGAACATTAGACCTGTGAAAATCTGTGTTTTTGTCCAAATTTGAGATCTT